ATATATATATGTGTATGTGTATATATGTATGTATGTGTGTATATGTAGGTGTGTGTGTGTATGTATGGGTGTACGCGTATATGTATATGTATGTATGTATATGTGTGTTTGTGTGTATGCATGTATATACATGTGTATGTATACATATTCTTTTATATTATTTATTTTTATTTACTTTTATTTATTTATTAATTTTTATTTATATATACTTATTATTATTATATTTTTATTTAAAAATGTTATATAAATTATTGCATGCTATTTAATTTTTAATGACGCTGTTAGGAGAGCCACTTGATAGTTTTTAAACTTTTTTGGCAATCCTTGGGAGGCAGCATCATGTTTTTGTTATATTTTTCCTGAAATTGGAATTTGAATTGAATTAATTAAAATTACAATTAGTTTAAGCTTATTGTTAACATTTAAATTCATAAAACGACAAATTATAATCAAATTAAAATTTTAGTTTCAAATTTATACTTAAAGGAAAAAAAAGCCTGTTTACTGATAAAATGAAACCTATTGTTAATTTTAATTATATAACAAAAGTATAAAAGTTCATACTTAAAGCATTTTAAAGACATTTAAATCAAGGAATACGAATAAATTATAAAAAAAAGTGTTTTGAGCTGCTATAGAAAATCATGCGATGACTCTATTTTTACATTCTCCTGAAGATGAATTGAGAAACGTCGAAATTTTTCTACGTTATTCTGTTCTATTTAAAACGTGGTAGAACCAGTGGTGGACCTTAAAGTAAATGCAGGATATGCTTTCGCCTGCTAGTGGGAAAACTTTGTTAGTCTGCGTGTCAAAATACACATTTTTTTTGTTCTTTTTTAGACCGGCATGAGTTTCTTATCTTCAAAAGATTTACTATTCCTGTGCGTTTAACAAATTACAATTTACAGGTCATATGTATGCAAATTCTATTCATTGAAGATTATAGAATGTCTGGCAATACAAATTATCCGATAGACAGTGGCGGTCCCGATTAGGCTACCGTAGAGAGAGAAAGTGAGAAGAGGCGCATGTGGAGATACTCTTGGAAGCAGCGCTTCCATTTCAATGTTAACTTTATTATTTTAACGCTACCGCGCGGTTGACGAAATGGCAAATTTTACCATTATATGATAATTCTCCCACTTTTACTGATTACGCGATTGGCTGATATTTAAAACCAGCCATGCAAAAAGAGTCAAACAGCTGAGAGTACGATGCGTTTGGCTCGAGAAATTTAGGCTAGGTTTTTTTCCTAGATACTAAATGAAAAACTAATAAAACTAACTTAGCTATTCCAATGAACTGCACAAATCAAATAATATAGAAGACCTAAGATATGCTAAATAAAACTGTAAAAAATGTACAATATTTTGTTGGGTTTTAGATAGGGTATGAGCTGCACACATTGCTGGCCTTTACGGTCCGCACTGGGTAAAACATATGTTTTTGTAAATATTGAACAAAGGTAGTAATTCTTTAAGTGTGAACTAATGCATTGGACGTTCGGAATTAGAACAATTATAATGTTTACGTCCACATTTTCAACATATGCTTATCGATGCAAAATTCGATAAATATAGTGCACTCTATCACACAGAAATATATTATGTGTTATGTATTTCATATTAATTCCGAATATGTTTTTGTTTTGATTTGTACAGATTATGATTGACGTCGAACCATATTTGGGAACTTACATTTTAACAGATGGAACTCTTTTTATAGCATTTGTTTCTGAAAGTACGGTTGAAATACCAGTTTATTACATTAAGGTAAGATTATAATAATTCATTCAATGAAACATTCGAATGTTTCAAGTTCTCATGTATGTGTAGATGTTCCCAATCTAAAATCCATTGGTTACCCTATGACAAAAAATAATTATTCAATATGTTTCAGCTGTTGGTGGATAAAATTGATATTTTAAAACAAATGTTGAACATTTTAAAAGCAAGAGAGAAGCAGCTTTTTTGAATTTTTTGGTGGAAAGGAAAGATAAGGAGTATAAGAGAAATATATGCCAACATATTTTGCTTGTATTTTAATAATCTAAGAAGTTTAGCAATAACTACTAAATCCTTTCCGAGCCACAGAGGCCCATAGGGCTGGAACTTATCCCCAGTTTCTGTAGTGTGAAGCGGATGAGAGTTGTGTTCCCCCTGGACGGGACACTAGTCCGTCGCAGGTTAGTCCCCAGCAGTTTGCTGGTACCCAATGATACAGCTGGGTAGACTGAAGCAATGTAGCTAAAGTGCCTTGCCCAAGGACAAAAGCGAAAAGCAAGGTCGAAACCCCAACCTTGCGATTGAAAGCCCAAACCTCAACCGCTGCGCCAAACTGCCGCTGCCAAAATTAACATTCCGAAGCGATTAAGATTGTGGATTTAAAACTGGAAGTTACAAAACAATTTCAATAAACAGTTTGAATACCCAAGACTTTTACGTCTAATAATTCGTTACCATTTTCACTAAAAGCACAACCTTTAATTTTGAGGTTGTCAACTGTGTGTGTTTATTTCCCTATAAAAAATAAAAAAATGAGTGTTTCAATTTCTTTAATTACAGCATTTGGGGTCTTTATAAGCATTAATGGGTACAACGTTTGTAAGTACAGGAGAGATTTTTAAATTTTTACCCTGATGGGATAAGTCCCTCGTTATCCACGATTTTATAGTTTTTTTAGTTTATGAATTCTTTTATTCGAATTTACTCAATACCACGCACGGATTTCGAGTTTGTAAAAAAGAAATACCTAAATATTTAATGGCATCCCCACGCTTTTTTCAATTTATTTCACCAATTGCATCTCTTTTCTGTTTGTTTCTCCCTATCCAAAGGCCCTCTGTTTTGCTTTTATTGAGATTAAAACCTGAAAACACAAACTCCTGTATAGTTTCTAATATTTTTGCAATCGATTGATTATTTTCCGCGTGATATACTTGTTTCTTTAATTGGGTAACCTAACATTGGGAGTTGTATTCCTTTTCAATATTTTAAACTGTCGCTAGAATTTCTACTCTGGTAATAAAAAAGGAGAGGGCATAGTGGACAACTTTGGCGTACACCACGATTCATGACAACAAATTCTGACAACAGTCCGTTATGGTTAATACAGTTTTAACCAAGTTTATAAAAGAAGAACCAACGTTAAAAACATTTAGAGTGTTCAAAATTAAATCTCTATTAATACTGTCAAATGATTCACAGTAGTTAATAAATATAGTTGCACCTTGTTTTCATTTGTCATAATAAATATATTCTCAATTCATTTAATATTCTCTTAATATACCTGCCTTTTACAAACCCCTATGGTCAGGGTGTATAATATTGTTTTAATTACTTTTTGATTTCTTAAAGAAAGTGTTTTTGCGGCTTTTTTATAATCCGTGTTTAATATGGATAAATATTTTCAATTATCTAATAACTTTGGATTTCATTTTCTTTATATTGTAATGTTACTTTTCCACTTTTTTTTGAGTAGGAGACATTCCCCCTTTTGTTGCCTCATTGAGGCTATCGACAACAAGTGTTTTAATTATCGACCAGAAGGACTTGTAAAATTTTGGTCGATAAGCTCTTACTATATAACATCTAATCTAGGGCATTTTTACATTCTGTATCAGTGTAATGTATTGTATATAGTTAAATCGAATTAGACAAATTGATACATGATCTGTTTGGACTTAGTGCTTTCACCTCTTTATTCTATCGGTAAAACCTGCAACACATCAAAATACTATGTAACAATAACAAACTATGCAGTACTAAATTCAACTAAGTCACCTCATACTGATTTAAACTATTTTATATATTATTACAGTATTAACTTTATAAAAGGTATTGCTCTGCATTCTGCAGCCATAGGTTTAGGCTACGACTAACTACTCATCAGGAGACACACTCCTGAATGCCAATGTTGCCATTGGCAACGATCATGTACTGTATGTAAGATGAGGCGATTCATCATTGACTGTTAGGCCTAGGCCCAACACCTTTGTAGTTGTAATAATGAACAACTGAAGTAAGTAATCAAAACAATTATGTATAACTCACACGGTCATCCAACATGCATAAAGCGACTGTCCAATCCAATTAAGTATCAAAACAACAAACATTAAATTAATTAAATTTAAACCAAACGTGGTCAAATGTTTCCTTTCTTGCTTCTGACTTTACTTCTCTCCATTTAACAACAGCCGTCAGTTCCAATTGTATGGGACGCAAGTTGTGCAATACAGAGCGAATTCAACTGGTCAATCTAGTCCTTTTCCAATTCACTCCTGCCTAGAGGCTCTTTCTGAGCCGTGGTATGTAAACCATACTTTAATTCGTCAGCAGTGACAATCAGACACATTTATGTATTGGTCTATCTTTCAGTGTAACAGTAGATCCGTCAGAAGAAACTGTCTTTACAGTTACTTTCCGTACTAGGTCATCCTCTCCTGGTTTTACTTTATCTACAAGCCCACGTTTCCACAATCCTCTAGGAGCGACGCCTCCCTTCAAGCCAGGTTCCAGGAGCAGTACTAAATCTCCAACTCTTAGATTTGATCTGGGATGAAACCATTTAGATTTCTGAACCAACTGTGGTGGCATATACCGAATCCATGCTTCCCAGAACGCTTGAACACGGCGATGGGCTACGTCAACTAGACTTCTAGCGTCAATCACGCCGTCGCTCTCTGGTTGCATAACAACTGGCTGGCCATGAGGATGAAGAATATCATTTGCAGTAATTGGAGGCGAGTCAAGAGGATCGGGGCCTTATGGGAACAAAGGTCTAGAATTTATCAGGTACGTAATCTCCTCCAAAACTATCTGCCATTCCAGAGCCTTAAATGTTCGGTGATGGTAATTTACTAAAGCATCAAGTCCCTTTTGGCAGCTCCTAATAAGAGATTCTACTACACCATTCATATGCGACGCCAATGGAACGTTCAATTTCCAATCAAGCTGTGTGTTTGTCTTCAAAAACTCAGATTCAATTCTTTTGATATTTCATGATTGAATCCACCTTTTAAGTTTGCTCTGTGCTCCTATGAAATTGCGACCCTGGTCGCTAAATACACATTGCGGTTGAATCCCCTTTTGCAAGAGAATCTTCTAAATGCACAGAGGAATGAATCAGTTGATAAGGACTCGACAAGTTCGAAAGAGAAGGCTCGTGTAGTTGTGCATGTGGAAATCAGGATACAGCCATCAACGTTAGTATTGCGTGTAAGTTTAATGGTAACTGGTCCAAAGAAATCCATAGCCACATTCTGGAAAGGGAGAACATGAGGACTACCTCGAAAGCTTGGGAGTTCTCCCATCTGTTGAGTCAAAAGAGCTCGCCGTCTGATACGGCAAAATAGACATTTTGCTGAAATCTCTTTAAAAATCCGCAATCCTCCCACAATAAAAACTCCCTGGTTGAAAGCAAAAGCGATTGCCACCCTATAACCTTGGTGGTTAATGGCGTAATGTACATATCTTGCATACTTAATACATATCATAATACTTCGACTACAAGTGATCTTCTGAACAGAAGCACAGGTTGTTTCTGATGATCTGGAAGATTCGATTTGCGTAGTCTCCCTTAAACTCTTAATAGGCCTCTTCCATCAAGCTTAGGATTTAATTTTCCGATGTCCTAACTATTCAATTCTTCATCTGTCCACACCATCTGGCTTACGATAAAGCGAGATAATTCTGCTTCTTTTAATTCTTTTACAGTAAATGAAAACAAACTTATTTTCTTTCTGTTTTGTGGAAAGGCATGGCGAATTCTTGCCACAAGGGATCTCAGCTGAAGCCAATCAGTGGTCTTTTCTAAAAGATGGTTTTCGAAAGAGTGTTGTTCTACTCGGTTGCAGAATTGATTAACTCTACGAAGGGCATCTTGAGTGTACTCCTTCTCTATTACACGGTTGTGAGTGGTATCATAGACGGGTTCCTGACTTGGCCATTGATCCTTTTCTTTAAGGAGAAACGCAGGTCCTTGATTCCATTTACAAAGCTCATCAGGATGGATGGGTTTTGTCAAGGCATCAGTTGGATTAAGATTTGAGGGTATATAGCAAAAATCCTCCCTGTACATAGGAATACTTTCCGGAATCTCCTGTATACGGACCGACACAAATGGTTTAAAAGTTCTCGCAGGCGACTTTACCCATGAGAGCACAACTTCAGAATCTGTCTAGAATCGCATCGATTCTAAATCACCTATGGTGTCAGAAACAATCAGAGCCAGTCGGAAAAGGATGACAACCGCCGTCAACTCTAGTCTCGGTATCGACCGTTTTTTTAATGGAGCAACTAGTTCTTTGGCTATTATGAATGACAGATGTATGCCATCAGTTGTTTTCCATCTAAGCCATATTACTGCACCTACTGCCATTTCGCTGGCATCGCTGAATTCATGTAGTTGGGGTTTACCTATGGAATTGTGAGGCCTCACCTTACCTGGAACTTCAAAGGCAATGAGTCGGTTCATTTCCTGTATGTATCCTTTCCATTTTTCAGTCTGTCCTTCATCAAGAATGTCATCCCATCCAAGACCAGATGCCCACATTTCTTGAAGCCCGATTTTATAGCGTATGCTAACAGGCGACAGAAACCCTAATGTATCACACAGCTTGGCAACTAAACTTGCAGCCTTCCTCTTTGTGAGTGTAATGATATTTGTACATATTTGGTCCTGTTGGATGGTTATCGTATCTCTTGACATATCCCACAGATGCCCTAATACTCTCGTCGTTTGTTCCTCTGGGCACTGGTCAACTCTATGGTGA